CTCAATGTGAATGTTATGCTGGTGCCAACTGCATATGCTTTGAAATCATCACGATTTCTTTGTTTCTCATTAACATCTTTGGTTCATGAATCACAAGGCATTATTGTGTAAAAGAGCGAAAACATGTACATAGAAATGAAATGAGGTTGGTGCTCAATAAATGTTGTATAAAGACAAACTGTTGTGATAAGCGTTGGAGACAAAGGCTTGAGGCGATGATTTTATTACCTCCCTTGGCTGCTTTTATCCAATCAGGTGCCTAAGCTGGGAAGTTGACTGTACAAATCACAACTCACTTTAAGCTTCTTAAATTATCTAACCTCTTAAACTTGGCATCTGGTTGATGCAGACAGAAGTACTCTGAAAGAAGTAGAAGGAGTTCTTTCATATATTTTTAAAGTTTCCAGATCTGTCAATTTGTCTTTATTGTTTCCCAAAAACTCTGAGTGGCACTCGCGAACAAACCTTGACGCGACCACTATCTTTGTTGACACTGGCAAAGCTCAGCAGATTGTAGCAGGGGCTTAGCTGATTGGCTACTGTGAGAATCTTGAGCCAGCTAAAGGGGAGGTAATAAAATCCTTGGATGCATCCAGGGTATAGTGAATAGTTATTGTAAGGTATACCCTGGAGATTATCAGAGATGATACAAAGGAAGAGCTGAATTTGGACCACAATTGTGGTCATTTTCTTTATTGAAAATGCTAGTTCACCTTGTTTTCAAGATGGCAGAGTGACATTTACTGTATGTGCTTATGTGGACACATCAGAATTTAAAGCTGTCACACCTGTCTGAAGAGTCTTTGTCAGATGTTGACAAAGGTTAATGGAATCTGAGTGGAATACCTATTTCCTGTAATAAGCACTGCTGTGTAAAGCAGCAGTTAAAAATAATTTATTACACCCAGTAAGCATGGGGCCTCTAATAAGCTTACCGGGCCTGGCTGGAAGTCAGAAGAAGCTATATGGTGTATATATATCTTTACAGAATTTATGAAAGTAAGATGGCCTTTAAACATTATTATTTACAAATTGTGCAAATCAAGACAAATTCCACACACTGGCGTAAGCAGGATAAACAGTTAAAACCAGCGAGGGTGTACTATACAAAGAATTAAAAGTTAAGTTCAAAACTAAGATGTGAAGCTGTGGAAATGTTAGGCTAAAATAATTGTGAAGACCAATCCATATTTAGAGAAGGTTCATCTGGTAACTGATTTAGGGATATCATAAACATTTGTATTTACAATTAAAAGGAAATATTGTTAAAGATATGATGGCACTGCTTTTGACAGCAAAATAACTATTCCTATTCTGCTCGTACAACACTATTAAACTTAGGTTTCACTTGTCAAAAATGACAATCATGTGACCATATAACAGTCATTTCTGATTTTCACTTTTCAAAACAAGGTAACCTTTTTGCGGAAAACAAAATGCACGTTTCCAAAAGCGCATACATCCTGTTTAAAGTAAAAGATAATTTCCATAATGGTTTTGTTTTTCAACTAAAAGTACTAAACCAAATTATGATGGCGCTTAACATTTTATTCACAGTATATTTCAAACGTGTTTTAGCTATCATGAATATCTACGCTTTCGCCAGACTGAGGTTTGTATTATAACATTCTTATTTTTCCATCTTGAGTCTGTTCTGCTCAAACAGAATGTTTATATGCACCCTTTCATCTGCGGAAATATATCAATCAGCACTGGAAAAACACAACGAACTTCCCATTTCATGAAAAACATCCTCGTATTTAGCCCAATTAGTTTCGTAATTTATTTTCCTTGAAAACACTCAACACCAACTCCCTTTGTCAGTCACTATGAGGACGTGTTGATGAGGCCTACATTGTAAATGTTTCCAATCCATTTTAGAATACTAATTGTGAAACGTCATCCACATACCTCTAATCCACGGAACGTAAATGTAAAATATCATGAATATCTTTGGGAATTCTATAAAAGTGGACATTGAGCATACAAAATCATATCCTCCCAAAAGTCTGGGTCCTGCACTTTCCTTTCCTGTAGATATAATAGTACCACTCCCAACTCTGGGGGATCATTCAGAGCTGAAAGTAACGGTATGAAGGACATCCTAACGTTCAGTACTTCCAACACAAACGTGTCGTGCTTCAAAGAAGTACAGGTCGCTCATGTGACGACTCCAGAATTTGGACAGTCAATTCTTCGGCCAATCAGATGTCCGTCATTTTAATGGCATTATATATTGACCACATGGATATGAAAATTTCTATCTTAACACGGGAAATAAGTAAACACAACTAAACCCCAGAAAATAGCACGGACTTGATTTTATATCATTCGGAACTGCTCCTTCTTGTTGGTATTCAGAATGCAGATACGCTTCTGTGAAGGCTTCTCTCGTAATGTTAACTTTGAAGGATCTACGCTGTTTTGAGTACATGGTACATCTGAAGCACCCCATGAACGGTTACGAGAACTTCACGTAGAGAGTAATTTATCGGAGTAAGAGCTGAGATAATGAGATTCCATATATCATATGTCATTGCCCTCCGTGACATTTTCATACAATGGGCATTGTCAAATAAGGAAATATATGATTGCATGTTGACATCGTCGCTAATACTGAATAACAATAAAACAGACGGAAATGAATGTAAATTTACTCAGAAACCTGGCAAACCCTCGACCCGTGAAGAATTGTTCGATCCATGCTTGTGGAAAGAGGCAACTAACGGAATGGGGTTGTCATGCTCACTGACTGGTTTGTCACTTAATTTTTTACCAAATGCGTATAATTATGATATAGAACACATTTTATGGATAACAACTTCTTTTTATTCGTGAGTGCGACGTTTCGATACTGATTCTTGTACCGTTGTCAAGCAGGAATGGAACATGAAGAAGGGGAAAGTATGTATATATACTGAATGTAACAATGTAACAAAGAAAACAACATCATTAACATAATTGCCTAGGCAGTAAGCTGATTATTATTTGTACATCATTGGCTTCCACGCCTGTCCTTTGTCTACTCTCTGGCTTCATCAGCTTACTGCCTAGCCAATTATGTTAATTATGTTGTTTTCTTTGTTACATTGTTACATTCAATATATACATACTTCCCCCTTCTTCATGATCCATTCCTGCTTGATTCGGTACAAGAATCAGTATCGAAAACGTCTCACTCACGAATAAAAGATGATGTTGCTAACATAAAAGTTTGTTCTATATTATGCTTCCCAACTTCTAAAATGCCACTCAAAGTTATTATTATGATGTCAGTCAAATACCTGGCCAATTACTGAGTACTGTGGACTATCGATATTATTCATAGAAGGCTGTTACATAGGAAGAGTATTCCGGTGAATGGCGTTAAACAACGGAAAACATAATTATGTATAACGCTTCGAAAACGTAACCGCAATAACGATCACATAATAAGCGGAACTACATTTGTACATATACACAAAGAACTTGTTTAAGCACCCGACATATCTCACGATCCGAATGAGCCCCGATCTTAACCCTTTGGAGCATATCTGGTACATGTATTAGTGGTTGAGTGCAACAAAGGGATCCTCCTGTACAGATTCTGACCCAATTGAAAGCTGCTTTATATCAGGAATGGCGTAGACTGCCTTTTCAGAGGATCAGGATGCTGACAGGGGTATGAGGAGAAAGTGCTGGCTCTAATACAGTCACATGGAGGCTACACTCGGTATTGACCTTGAATCGTTTAAGACACGCCAAATGACATTTTGAATGCTCACATTCACCAATAAATTCAACAATAAACATTCCATGGACATACATGTACAAAGATGGTTTTTGTATGAAAATCAGTGGGGTTTTTTTCAAAATGAGCAATTATCATCATAAAATCTACATGGATTCCAGTCATTATGTCGTTTTTTATGTATCAAAGGGGTCAGAAAAACTACTCTTTCTCCATCGTGGTACAAGCATGTAGGGGTTGCTTGATTAAGTTCTTTGTGTATACAAAATGACACCAGGAAGACCAGTTGTGATAAAGAAAACATACAGTGATTTACGCTTTCAAGGTTGGGATGTATGAGGTTCTTGTCAAAAGACAACAGCAATTTTGTCTTGTTAACAATAACACAATACTGTCAATTTTCCACTGGAGAACACGGGAAGGTAAATTTTCTCACATAAACAAAATACAATGTATCCAAATAGAAACTCTTTAAACATTTAAAAGAACCAGAGCATATCAGTCCCCATTTTCAATTTTTTCAAGTGATAGAATGTCTGTACAGGCGACTAAAACATAAACAAGTTACATACATTTCATTAAAGCTTTGAGTCGGCAATTAAAATCATCAGCGAGATTTTTTAAATCTTCTACTAAGTCAGGCGTGATCGTGTTTCGCAAATCTTGGAACGACTGGAGCAGCATGAAAACAGCCATCGTGAGAGACAACATGTAGAGGTCAGGGAGTCAAAGTGGCATGCATGGAACTGACACGTGGGTAAGACATTGGGAAGAACACACCAACGACTGCTCTGATGTAAGATGTCTCTGATGGACTTCCTATGTCAATTTGATCAGAATCAAAGTCGGGCTATATCCAAAGGCCAAAACAAAATATAAATCGTAAGGAAACACTTAAGAGTAACGAAAAAGTAATTCAAAGCAGTTTTGATTTGATATCTTATAGTCAAACGAAAATGTGCCTTGACCAGCTATAGCCTGTTGGCTTGTTTCCTCCTGTGGGTGTCTTTTGGATGGTTTTCTCGGATAAACTTTGATCATGTGTTCCATGGCATATGTGTTGTCTCAATACTGACTTCGCTCTGTATACACAGTAGTACTTATAGATGAGGGGCAAAAGTTCGAAGACAAGCAGAAGGACGTTGTACAACACTAAGGTTCCATGTGCAATGGCACGTACCCACCTCCACCTTCGAAAATAAACAAACTGTAAGCAGGGAAACTACTGAAGCTATCACAGCCTCCACAAGAAGGGTGAACCATTTTGACCTCAACAAAACCCCTGCCTGACATATTCATACTCCATGGAAATAATTTCCATTTCAACACTGATGTCTTCTGAAATCGTTTCTTTCGACTCCTCCCAGGTCTGGGAATGTTTCTCTTGTTCTCTCGTCATGTCTTCAATTCTCTTCCTTAGCTTCAGCACTTCGTCAGACGGCTCTGAAACTGAGTTAGTAAAGGTAAGTTAGTACAAAAGTGATGTTGTGGACAATTTGTTTACAAATAATAGACTTTCTAAATATTTGCCAGTGAGATACATTGTTTCGTTTGTTAAGCCATGCATTTGAAACGAGGTAATTAGGATCGTACACTTACCCTCTTTTCCTTTTAAATTATCCGCTATCCTCCGAATTTCTTCTGCAGTTTGGGACGGAGTTTTCTTGTGAATTTTGATGCTGTTTGTGACTATTGTATGAATATCTAGCGGCACAGTCAGCAAATTCATCACCACACCTGCAGCTTTCACTCCTTTTAGTCCCGTTTCTACAAACTCTGTGGCGACTTTGGCTGTACCTAACGTAGCCCCAACACGGGCCCCAAACTTAACTGGTTCAGCACCATCACTACTTTTGGACGGTTTGCCCTTAAGACGGTTCAGTATTGATTCAAACAGATTTGGTATCAGCAATCTCTTCACCGTATTAGCGAAAAATGTTTTGAACTTGCTTGTATGTCTTCCTTCCATGTTGTCCATCAGATACAGCATATCCTTCCTCTTTCATGAAACACTTTGGCTTCTTTCTGGGCTTTTCTTAAGGTCTTGGTATTAATGATTTTATCTGCAACCTCTGTGCATAATCCCCCTACCCGCTGGTCACTCCAAGAGTCACCCCAGCAATGGTCAACCCAAGAGAAGCACCAAAGGTGGCTGGGGCACAAGCAATCCCTGCTATAGCAGAGTGCTGCTGCAACAATGCCTCCAGATGCAAAACTGGTTTTAGCTATGTTCATTTTCCGCTGTGCTTTGTCCAGTTCATCAGCCAAATCATAAAGACTTTTCACAGTTTTATCATTCTGTGTGTTGACTTCCGCTATTGCCAGCTGTATTTTGTCCTCATATTCGTCAACAGTCATGGCTGGAGAGACCGCCATTTTCCTTTGGAATAAATATGAACATACAGGGTATGTATGGACAGACATACATCTATGAAATATAAATGCTTACATACGAATATATACTATTATTGCAGTAACAACTAATAAACGTCAATAAATACCCACTAAAACTAACTGCTTTATATACAGTTTAAAGAATACGGGATGTTTTTCTAAATTAATCAATTAATTGATGCATATTTCAAAACAGATTCGTTTTGAAAACCCCTGGACATGAAGGTCGCAATTCACAGTTGGATTTAGATGTTGGCATGCTGGCTGGGAGCATGATGTTTACGTGTGAATGTATAATTTTAATGTGAACAACTCAAAATGATTGTTCAGCTATCAGTTACTCATGAAACACTTTTGTTTAACTAGAGATTTAAGCATGTAGGTAATGCCAAGACTTGCTGAAAATCAACGCCTACGTGCCCTGGATAAGAATCACACACACACACACACATACACAGAGATTTGCTCTTGACAGAATGTTGAGCTGCGTTAGCTGTAGATTTTTTACCGGAATTAATGAAACAGTCGCTTACAAATACAATCACAAATTTCAATGTAAATGTATTCATCTCCTATTTGCCAGCCAACCTGTCACAAAGTGACATGAGGTGAATAGGTAATGGCCAGCTATTCAAGCCCAGAGTATAGTAGTCAGATAAACACAGACACGTACCAGATAATGCTCTCCGCTTGCCTGGAATGAGTGTTTTGTCTGAGTGTTGAGTTACAGGCAGCGTTACTCACATAAGGAAATTGATAGCTTGTGGTTGTCCCATCGACACAGATTCCTCCTTTTACTATGGTGGATGATTCGGGCCATATCTATGTCGCCCGGAAACATCATCGCGATATGGCCTGGCACTAGGTTTGTCCTACTTGTTTAGGGGCAAACCGTCCATTTCATTAGAGGTATCATGGTGCGAGAGAAAGAATGAGTCTGAAGACCGAAGATGTTATAGTGGGAGAGAAATACCACGTTCAATACATAAGGTCCAAATGCGGTATCACGACGTTCTATGTTTATTATAAACCTTTCCCCTGACGGTTCCAACTCTAAACGTTACTATTGAAACTTCCGCAGTTAGGTTACCGTGACCCGAGTATCACTCCGAAACACAACAAGAATAATATTTGACTCAAAATATCTTCCATTTAACAACTATAATGTTTTGAGAAACTTTATTTGGGACTCATCTTTTGACCGTCTGTTAAAAGTTCTTGAAAATTAGTGAAGTTCAAAATCCGGCAGCCCTGTAATATGGAATTCCCTTCAGATCACCGTATTCACTTAGGATCGTCTATATTGTTGTCTAAATTGGCATGTAATACAATTTGATAGACATATATATGAATATGAATATATATATTCATGCTTCACGGACATAGCTTGAGATTTAAAATAAGCTCTCCCAATATTAAATAACAATCGATGTATGTGAAGCATGAATATGATATAACTCACCGCCACAAGATAGCAAAGACCAAATAATGTAAGAAAACACATCTTGAGAGAGAACATGGAAAGGTGGGGTGGTTATTAGATCATAGTGATGTCTCTCAGCAAGTGTCAAACTTCGGCTTCATGACACAAAGAAGAAGATTATTCAGTACAAAGGCCACAGGCCATGTGCGTTACATACATACAGGGTGGTTATTAGATCATAGTGATGTCTCTCAGCAAGTGTCAAACTTCGGCTTCATGACACAAAGAAGAAGATTATTCAGTACAAAGGCCACAGGCCATGTGCGTTACATACATACAGGGTGGTTATTAGATCATAGTGATGTCTCTCAGCAAGTGTCAAATTTCGGCTCATGACACAAAGAAGAAGATTATTCAGTACAAAGGCCACAGACCATGTGCGTTACATACATACAGGGTGGTGATAGTTCGAAAGCAGTACAAATGAAGGGTATACTATCATAATAGTGATTAACGTATAGATAACGTTGAGTTGAGCTTGGATTTACGTCACATCGGCATTTCCAGCCATATAGTGACGAGAACAAGTTTAAGCTTCTTTGACATATTTAATATCTTTGTTAGTGTTGCAGGTACATAAATATGACATTCTGGATTGGCAGGCAATTCGAGTAAATCAGCAGTTCTAAGTTACTTTGGAAGACATTCTAACAATGAAGAACGTGTTCCTATGACTGTTTGCGACAATTAATCGGTGGATTCTACTGTTATACATTTGAAGTTGTCTCCAAGAGGTGGAAGCCATTACCAGTTGAATCATCATCAAAGATGTTTACTTTCATTATCAGGAATGAAGTTATTCCGATTCATGGTTTGAAATACAACTGAGAATGAATGTGCTGAGTTGAGTTGAGTTTTACGCCGCATCGGCATCATCCCACCCATACAGCGACGAGACCAAGTCTGCACACATAAATATTTTAAGTACAATGCTCAAATGAGTTGGGCTTTTCAAAAACATATTTATTCATTACGTTATTATTTACAACAGAAAATGTTATAGCACCAAGTTTAAAAACAAGTAATCCGTCATTCACATTACAAAGTTACAATTGATGGTACACGTCACGCGGGAAAACAGATCTTTCAGATTATGTTTCATAATAAGTCCCTTTTTGAAAGGTCCACACACACAAGCATATTATGCTTGATGGTGAACACTTCATCGCAAGAGATACGCACAGGAAGCCCATCTCCATCCGTTTTCAGCAGATAGTCATGAGTGAACTGACTGTGACCAATACGACATCGTAAAATTACCTCATCGCGTCTTGACTGACAACCGAAGTAGGTTGTTAGATTGTTAAATGAATGTGTACATAATTGTGTTTCTTGTCATGTTTTAGTCTGACTAATTGATTGATTGTTGTTTAACGCCGCATTCTGCAGTATTCCAGCCATATGGCGGCAGTCAGTAAATAATCGAGTATGGATCAGGCAATCCAGTGAACAACAGCATGAGCATCGATCTACGCAATTGGGATGTGATGACATGTGTCCCCCAAGTCTGACCAAGACTGACCTCCCAATCCCGTTAGTCGCTTCTTACGACAAGCATGGGTTACTGAATTATAGGATATCAAACGAGCTTCCCCTTTCATATCAAGTTTATGTCCCGACTGAAATAATTATGCTTTGTCACGTGCTTTAGCGAGTGACAAAGCAAAATTATTTCACGATTATATATATATCAAGTTTATGTCCCGAGTCCCGAGTCAAGGATGCTTCACACACATCTTGGAGCCTTCAGATGATTAAAAATGCAGATACATTTTGGACGCAGATGTGCCCAGAGATGTTTTTGGGAGAACATCACAAATACATTATGATACGAGTTTTCGAATTAAGGATTTGAATTAAGTAAGTACGGTAAGTATATAGTAAAAAACGGAATATTTTGTATATTCTCTTCATTATGAGTATATTACCATTATATACCCTAAACAAAATGTAAAACGTGTTCTATTCCTGTTTATATCCTTCACAAAACTAGAAACATGTCTACATTTGTTTCATCAATTCCCTGAGTCTGGCTTTAAACTCAACAGGAAGATGTTGGATTTCTATCGCAGCGTCAGACAGATCATCGTTCGAATCCTTATAAGATTTCACAAGCATAAAGATAGTCATTGCCAAGGACAATATGTACAAATCAGGACTCCAAACATCACTAGACTCTATTGGAATTACAGACAAGGGAAAGAGAAGGCCAATCATCAGAGAGGTGTCAGGCTTATACATATCATACTGAGCAGGAAGGCCCTCCTCGGGAACATTGTGATAAGACCCAAACAGGATATACATGGTTAGCATACATTTCAATATAATAAAAAACAGTCCAAAAAGATTTTGATTTGAAATAAAAAAATTCTCATCAAAAGTACGTCTGGCATTACTCGGGAGGGCTGTCCACGTTGCCCCTGGCTGGTTTCCACGCGAGGGTGTTCCTGGGTGTAGGGCTATCACATTCTCAATAGCATACGTCTGTTGTTTCCATATCGCTTTTGCGCGGAACAAACAGTTATATCCATAGAGTAGCGGGAAAAGTTCGAAACTTAACAGAAACACGTCGTACATGACTAAGGCATACTTTCCAAAATAAGGCAGCCATCCTTCATCTCCAGAGCTGAACGCAATGAAAACTGATATAACTGCGGTTAAAATGGCTTCAACAATAAGAGCGAACCGCTTTGATCTTAGGAACACTCTTCTCACGTATTCATATTCTATGGCAATAGTTTCCATTTCCTCAGTGATGTCTTCTTCAATCTTCTTCTTTGCCTCATCCCAAGCCTGACAGTGTTTCTCCTGGCTCCTCTCCATCTCTATGGCAATAGTTTCCATTTCCTCAGTGATGTCTTCTTCAATCTTCTTCTTTGCCTCATCCCAAGCCTGACAGTGTTTCTCCTGGCTCCTCTCCATCTCTTCAACTCTTCTCCTCAGTTTTTGAACTTCAACAGACGCAGCTGAAACATGTGTATGGCGTCTTAACCCATGAATCCAATAAACTCGAATATTTTTAATATATTCCTGCAAACTAATTTGTTACTTGATTTCACAAGATCAGAGTAAACAGTTTTTTACTGTATATTCAAATTGGGTACAGTCCCGTTACATTGATAACATACATTTTCAAGTCTCTTCGAGAATGTAATAATAGTTAAACCATATGACCAAGGTAAAAATGTGTGCAATCATAATATAACCAAGTGTATTTTCATACCTTCTCTGTCCTTTAACTCCTCTGCAATTCTCCGAATTTCTTCTGCAGTGCCAGATGGTGTGTTCTTATGAATTTTGATGCTGTTTGCAACTATGGCATGTACATTTAAAGGGATAGTCAGCGCGCATAGCGCAATGCCACCGCCTTTAAGTCCTTTTGTACCAGTTTTGCTGATTTTTTCAATGATTTTGACAGCCGTTGTTCCATGACTCGATATCGTTTCTAAAAGTTTGGGTTTCAGCTTTCCTTTCACTTTATCCATTAAAAACGTTTTAAACTTACTTCCGTACTGTTTTCTCATATTGTCCATTAATAGAAGCAAAGACTGACCCTTTTCGTGATAAATGTTAGCTTCCTGTTGAGCTTTTCCCAAAACTTTGTCATTAATAATTTTATTTGCCAATTCAGTGCTCACTCCGCCGACCCCGCTGGTTACTCCAAGAGTCAGTCCTGCAATGGTCAACCCCAGAGAGGCACCAAAGGTAGCTGGGGCACAAGCAATCCCTGCTATAGTAAGTGCTGCTCCAACAATGCCTCCAGATGCAAAACTGGTTTTAGCTATGTTCATTTTCCGCTGTGCTTTGTCCAGTTCATCAGCCATATCATAAAGACTTTTCACAGTTTTATCATTCTGTGTGTTGACTTCCGCTATGGCCAGCTGTATCTTGCACTCATATTCTTCAACAGTCATAGCTGGAGAGACTTCCATTTTCCTTTGGAATAGATATCAACATGATATTGTATATTGCATATCCCTATATCTTAGCACCTTGTATCCTGGTATCAGTATAACCAAGTATCTCAAACACTCCTTAGCCTAGGATCCTTACAGCCTATAATGCTGATATCCGTATTACTTATGATGATATCCTTATATCTTAGTACATATTCTGCTATCATTACTAAGCCTTGTAATCCTTATATTCTGGTATACTTTACATTTATGTCCCTATATCTCGATATCCTACTTCCTTTAGTTTTCTGTCCTATTATCATTACATCCTAGTATATTCTGGTATTGTTATATACCACTATCTCTAAATCAGGCTATCCTGATATCACAGAGTATGTTTATCCCACTATCGTTATACAACGGTATCTTTAAATCCTACTATTCTTAGTTCCTTGTATTTTTATACCCTGCGATCATATTTTCTGTTTATTATAGTTTGCATATACATATATATTTATCACATATCACTGATATCTCCAAGTATCTTTACATCCAAATATCCTTACATCCTAGTATATACTTATCCAAATATGTTATATGTCTCCTGTATCTTGGTATCAATCCTTCTACCCTTATATCCAAGAATATATTTAGCCTAATATGCTGCATCCTAGTATTCTCTTTACCCTAATATCATCGACTCCTACTACCCTTATATCCAAGAATACATTTATCCTAATATGTTACATGCTAGTATCAATATAACCTAGTATCACCTACCTCTACCATCCTAATATCCTGGTATATGGCGTGGAGTCATCCCACAGATGACATCCTTACCTCGTCAGCTTGCTGACGGTGTTAACCTCTTTGGTCATGTGGACAAGAAGTCCGACTTCTGATCAGAAGGTCCGTGGTTCGAATCCCAGCACGGGACTCGGAAATGTTATGGCCTCTACACTAATATGTTATATCCTGCATCCTATACCCTGGTGTCAACCTAGTATCTGTTATTCACTTAATCCTACTGTCCTTATATTTCTGTATCTGTTTGTTCTAAGATCTATTTTCCTAGTAGCCTTATATCTTGGTTTATGATATATCGACCCATCTATATCTTAGTGTTGAGTAATTCTCGTATCATTATGCCACAATTTCCCTATATCAAACTTTATGTTTAAGCTTCTACCCATGTATATCCTCATGCAATTCAAATTTTAGCATCAGCACATCCCGATCAAAGCATCTGTTTGTCCTCCTTTTATATCCTGCTTTTCAGTATATTTATATCCTTGTAACTTTATATCCTTCTATCATTATATCGTAGCATATAGTGTTTGTTCTAGTTCCAGCAGCCCTAAAATCATAATGTTCGTTTGTCTTAATATCTGTGTATCCTATTATCGTATATGCTAGTAGCTGTAAATCTCTATATCTTTACATCGTATCATCCTCATATATATTACTATTTTTATAAGCTGCTGTCTGTTTATTTCCGTAATAAGACCACATGACATTGTTAAAAAGAAAACATTATTAATGCACAGACAATGCATGAACATAGTTCTGTTAGAGGTATAAATATATCATGACTTTAAACGGCCACAAAATTAGTGCGTTTCTACAAACCAGGAAATGTGTACTTGGCATGGCAGTATGAAACAGTTGATTTGATGTATGTTTTTCCCCAGAAATATCCAGGTAAAATTACACATCTTAAATTATTATAAAATGGACATTCAAACATGAAATATTCATTTTCCTATCTTGGTACAATGCATACGGGATACAAACATTCTGGGGCTGGTACGTTTTGGTTTCTACCTGCTTCAATCATTGATCTTTATATCCAAGTGTAACAAACAACGACGGGAAGTCACAAGTCACGAGTGCCCCGGCAGATGCGGACATTTATTGTACAACCGCAGCTGTGGCAATATTTCATACAATGGGAAAGGATCAATTCCTTCATGGGAGCATTTTGTTCATGAAAGAGGATGTGTTTTGCTTGAAACCAATACATCACACGCGGAAACAAAATAATGTTTTAAACAATGACTTTATACAATACGACGAAGTTCGGAAAAACGAGTGGAAAATAGATAGGCAAAGAGAGGTGTGTGTTTAAATGAATGAAATACTTGAGTTTATTAAGCAAGTGTGTGCTCGTATTGTGGTTTCTTTTCAAAATGCCTGTTTTATGATTAAAATGGTATCTTATTGTATTTGTAAGATGCGTCATTTGGAGGTTAGTACATATATATCAGAAATTATATGTGTATTAGTTTACAAAAAGTAAAAGATTGTTTACCCAAATACTTTATGTGTACAAATATATCTACAAACATTGATAGTAACAGAGGAAGGGAATCGTTGCATTGTGCCTGTAGTGTCATCGAACCGATGTTGTTGAAGGATGACAGACAAATGTTCCCGTCGCTATTACCTTTGGGACTTGAGAAAATTTGCTAAAATAGCCATTCACCACAACAACACTCTTGTGATATTAAACATTCCTAGGGAAGCGTGTTTCAAACAGAGGTCTGGTGCATGTTCTTATGTTTGGGCGAGTTTTTCGCCTTTGTATTTTATTACCTGCTTCCACCGAATGTTTCCTCTCTATTAAATGGCGTTATATTACAGTGGAATCTGTCTATTGTGGACTCGACTGGGAACGACTCATTTGTCCGGACTGTAAAGCGTATACTATTTATACACAGATCACTTTGACCTGGTACCATGACGGGCTAAATAAGTCGTCACAAACTTTTACGATTTTAAGTCAATCATTCAATTTGTGCAAACGCACATTAAAGAATATTATCAATTCCTGTTAATGCCGACTAAAAGGTACCGGGTAGTTTGTCGCGATGGTTTAGCTAATTGTGTATGTTGTGTCTGTATAGATTGATGCAGGTGCCCACTGTGAAGGTGTGGTATATAATATTCAATAACTAGAAATTCAAACCAGATGTTGCATTTATCAGAAGCCATTTTGATGGATTTCGTGATGCATTTATTTAGTCAGTAATATATTTTAGGCAAGTTGTGTTCAAAACTGAAGTAAGGACAAAACAATTCATCACTCTCTCAGTGATCATCATGTGAAACCGAAACTTCAATTCCTTTGTTCCAGTGAGAAAGGGCACAAGCTGGATATTTGCATATTTGGATATGTAAACAAAACTCCCGAATGCGGCATTAACATCAAACAATCACAAATCAGGTAAACAACGCCACAATAATGTAATTCACAAAACGTTTAGACTGAAATATCATCAATCTACGTACCTGTACATTGTGGCCCAGCTTGAAGGCGAGGCATCTATAGCTCAAGTACGAACAGGAAAATACTACGGAAACGCATTAGGGGAAATTTGTATTGCGCATGCCTTTTATGCGCACGATATGATCTGAGTCACATTCAGTACGACACAGCTGTGTCAGAGCTGCAAGGTCTTGCGTACATACATCGAATTATTCGATGTTCGACACACCCGCAAAATGAGAAGCTTTTTCTTCGACATATCAAAGACTCAGGTTCAATTATATTGCCAGTCATCTTGTGGCCTTCCTCCGTCTACAAATATACCCGTGAAGGTCCAGGTTAGAATATTGATCTTCAGTAACCCATGCTTGTCGTAAGAGGCGACTAACGGGATCGGGTGGTCAGGCTCGCTGACTTGGTTGACACATGTCATCGGTCCCCAGTTGCGCAGATCGATGCTCATGCTGTTGATCACTGGGTTGTCTGGATTGGTCCAGACAGACTCGATTATTTACAGACCGCCACCATATAGCTGGAATATTGCTGAGTGCGTCGTAAAACTAAACTCAGTCACTTACTAACTCACTCACTCACTCACTCACTCACTCACTCACTCACTCACTCACTCTTCAAATAATGCAAAGCATGGCGTGAAAGTCAAGCCTCTCCCTCAGACTAAGACTTATCAAGTGTTATTCTGGTACGGATTATTGGTTTGAAACTAATTCTGCCTCAGGTTTTGAACACTAAATGATTGTTACAGAATAAACTATGACATTAGAATATTTTCGGCATGTTTTAGTATGAGACAGTAGCTGTCTAGCTCCCAATCAGGACGTTCAACCAGTCACCATAGCTGTAGAGGGATATTCTGAGTGTTCACGGCTTGTCGCAGATTCGATCGGGACGATGAAGCATCTGCCACGAGAGCGGAAGGTGGTGTTTTAGAATCTCTGGTCCGTCATACAAAAAGACGTAATAAGATGGTACTTTATTACCATTCCTGGCAGTCTGCATTAAGGAGAGAAACACAGATTGGTCGTCTCGGAGTGGTGTGGTTGAGCAGGGAATTCGTGTAACGTGCGACATGGTATCTCAGTGAGCGAGCTGCCTAAACCAGTTAAAGCAGCAACTCCTACACACACACGCCTCATGGGCGTTTGGGTACCCTAGTGGTTAAAGCGTTCGCTCGTCACGCTGATTCGATTCCCCACATGAGTACAATGGTGTCCCCCGCCGGACATATTGCTGGAATATTGCTAAAAGCGGCGTAAAACCAAACTCACTCACTCACCTCTACCTCACCTCACCTCACCTCACCTCACCTCACATCACATCACATCACCTCACCTCACATCACCTCACATGACCTCACATCACATCACATCACATGACCTCACATCACATCACATCACATGACCTCACATGACCTCACCTCAAATCACGTCACATGACCTCACCTCACCTCACCTCACATCACATCACATCACATCACCCTGCATCGCATCGCATCGAATCGAATCGCATCGCATCGCATCGCATCGCATCGCATCGCCTCGCATCATATCGCCTCACCTCACCTCACCTCACCTCACCTCACCTCACCTCACCTCACCTCACATCACATCACATCACATCACATCACATCACATCACACATCACATCACATCACCTCACCTCACATGACCTCACCTCACCTCACCTCACCTCACCTCGCCTCACCTCGCCTCACCTCACCTCACATCACATCACATCACATTACATCACCTCACCTCACATCACATCACATCACATCACATCACACATCACATCACATCACATCACATCACATCACATCACATCACATCACCGCACATCACCTCACATCACATCACATCACATCACATCACATCTTCCATCGGAGTCTCCATTACTAAAGCCAACACTGTAGTTGTATAAGTATTCATGGTCATACTTAAAGTCAAGTGAGCCAGGAACCTGTGATCCTCGGTTTCTCCGAACTAAACAGGTAAACCTCCATGGGCTGAATCACATCGGGTTTTCCTCCCCCATCAAACAGACAAACAGTGACATAAATGAAATGTCGATACTGTAGAGTCGTTAAACTCACTCAACCATGGTAACATTTCGGAACATTGATGACGTAACACACCAATATTGCCACAATGCCACAAGTTGTCACGTGACTGTTATCTCTTTTTCAACGGACTGTTTCTCCTGAAATGGGAGTAATTTATTCACAGGGTGGTAGCGCTGTCCACGCGAAACAGTGAAAGAACAGTGAAAGAAGAACATGTTGCGCAAGAGCATTGTTTCGCATAATATCAGATTTTGAAATTTGGCAGAAGGATCTAGAAAGTGTAAGATCTTTCTGTAATTGCTTGACAGCCTCTGTATTCAATGCAATTGCACGTTTAGCGAGGGCATCCTCCGGAGTATCGAAACAAGATCGCGCAAAATGATCGTTTCAACACAACAAAACAGGTGTGTCTGCTGATGAGGATGTCATATTTCGTGTTGAAACGATCATTTTCTTTCGACACTCAGGAGGGTGCCCTCGTCAAACGCGCACTTGTAATAAATAGAGAGGATGTCAAGCTATTACAGAAAGATCTGTAACTTTCTAGACCCGTCTGCCAAATTGCAAAACCTGATATACTTGCCAAATTATGCAAATAAGAGGGAAAACTTGCCATTACTCTTGCGCCACGTGTTCTTCTTTCACTGTCCAGGGAGGAAATGGAGTGGCTTTTGGCTCAACTCCAGATTTCGCGTGGAATGCTAAAATTGAAAGAATGATGAAAATGTAATTTGTTAAATACGATGTGTGATATGTTAGGGTTCGATGCATTTGGTTTGGTTATGACAGCGGTGCTGCGTAGACCGCAGGAAGCCCTGGGTAGCAGCCTATTTCATGGCATAAATGGTAATATTCTCTTCCTGTCTAGTGATCCGAATTTCGGTAGGAATTCGGGCATGTTCCGGGCAGATTTGTGTAATGACGTCAGTTGGAGATGGTTTCCAATTCTGTTCTCATGAGGGACGATCTTGTGATCGTACACATGGCCTTGACAGTCTGCCCCTTCCATCTGTACGACAAGAGGTAACTGCATTCTGTACGGCTTCATTCTGCTCCCTCCATCTGAACGGCTTCTTTCTACCCACTATATCTGTATGACAAGAATCAACACGACCCAGTCCATCTGTACGACTATCCTTCCAGTAATAACCAATGTCTTGGCAAGAGTACAGCCAGGCTGATGCCATATATTCCACAACGCACATAAAAAATGGCATGTATTTGAAGCTCGTGGAATATCCTACAAGTATGTAAATAGAACACGCCCGTTTCATAACCTCTGTTTGGTAACAGTGTTGTTATAGTGACTAATTCAGGACAGCCATCGTCCAAATATTTATAGAGTCCAAAACTATGTACTCAAGACATGTGAGACCTTATTGTAATATATATATGACGCTAAGCTGTATTTTTAATCACTACTGTACATCCTTATCGCTACCGCATTGTAAATTGACTTGTCAGCCCATTAATTATTGTATAAGACATTTATAACCTCCATTGGTAATCCCCCTTGGCCGTGTCTGCCATCACATCAACTGGTCAAGGAAGTACTATTGTTTTTCCGTCTGTCCATTCATGAGTCGTCGCCTGACCATTGTTGTCAAAAACTGTATATATATATTCTAGGTATGCTCACATGTAGACAGTGAATGAGGACAGCGAATTGACAGTCTGTTGGGACGACCACGAGCAGGATAATGCCGCTCGTTGGAAACGCCCTGTGGTTGAGCAGGTACTCCGCTCTCCCACATGTATGTCTTGTGCATTTGTTTGTCATGTACTAAAGAAGTTTGAACTCAACTATGCCTTCGTCTTCATCAACGCACACTTCATCTTAATTATGAGCTAATTCCCCAGTTGACGCATAAACCACGCGTTGACAGTGTTACAATACAGTAAAGGAGTACAGAAGTCATCCGGAGCCGCTTGTCAGCGTTTCCAACGTTCTGTCCAACTACAGAATACCACATAACATATGAAATATGAGTTGGTTGGAAACAGTAAAGACAAGGTACCTGGCATTACAATAGAATACGAAAGAGTCGTCCATAAAATATCATGTCTCAGCTGTAAGGAAGTATATGATCAGTATGTAACTTAACAGTTTGAATTACATTGTGCAAGACAAACAATACACTAGTCGCTCCGTGGACCGGTGTTCGAATCCCAATGGAGAACGCAACGTGGACACCATTCTTGTTGTCTTGGCTGCAATATCGCTACAACGACTGGTTGTTTTAGTTACACATGACGACGTTGTGTTTGATGTATTTTACCTTTACATCAGACAATCTCCTGAGTTTAACCTGGTTAAAACTGAATTTTCTATGGCTCTAATAGGATATGTTTCTCTTGAATTGGAGCGTCAGCTGCTCTTGTCAATGTTGTTTCATTCCATTTGAATATTTCCCGCAACATTCTTAGTGGATTCCGTTATCCTTTTGGCAAGGGACATGGTATGTCCGAGTTCAGTGTGTATTAGTTGTGTTGTTTTGCTAATATGTAAAGCTTGGTGGAAAATATTTGGAAAGTGGTTAAAGCATTCGCTAGTCGCGCCTGAAGACCCGGGTTCGATTCCCCACATGGCCACAATGTGTGAAGCCCGTTTCCGGTGTCCTCCGATGTGACATTGCTGAAATATTGCAAAAAGGAGGGTAAGAGCACTATGTCTTAATAGCAAGAAGTGCGTTCAATGTATCAAGATAATGAATGAGTGGACTTCATAGACGCTTTGAACAGTATCTCACTAAGTGAGTGAGTGAGTTGGGTTTAACGCCCCTCATGTACACCTGAAGGACTCAGGTCGCCAGGACATTTGGTGAAACAAACTCACAGGCACTGGTTTGGGTCTAACAAAGTAAAAATGCTAATCAGCACAAATCTATATTTAGACCCACCATCATCACATGCTGGCCTGCCTACGGGAGGCAACTCGGTACAGCAAATTGTGGCACATAGGTCGATCGTTTTCACGAATCTTGCACAGCCTGCATCTTTTCAA